CGCACGCCTGTAATTCCAGCTACTCGGAAGGCTGAGGCGGAAGGATCGCCGGAGTCCAGCAGGTCGAGGCTGCGATGGCCAGGAGCTGCCACTGCACTCCAGTCTGGGCGGCAGAGTGAGACTCCAACTCAAAAAAAAAAAACAGAGACGTAAAGCTCTCAGACAGGTACACGGAGTTCACTCTGTGTCAACATCACTTAGTGTTATGTATGCTAAAGATACAACACATACTTTTCTAGATCCAGGAGATCACATGCTGCCTAAGTGTTGAGACTGAAAGGAAACAGCAAAGAGAGGTGCTCCATGCTCTGTTCAGTTTGCCACTGGGTGGATTATGGGTGTCAGGAGGCACCCAAGGGGAAGGCTTCAGCACAGAACCAAATACCGGTTCTGGAGGCCTCAGTGTGTGGCCAGGGCAACAATCATCTTTAGAAAGTATAATACAAGCCAGCTGCAGTGGCTCCCGCCTATAATCCCACCACTTTGGGAGGCTGATGAGGGAGGACTGCTCGAGCCCAGTAGTTCGAGACCAGCTTGGGCAACACAGTGAGACCCCATCTCTACAACAAAAATAAAAAAATTATCCAAGTGTGGTGGCAACTAATTGGGAGACTGAGGAGGGAGGACTGCTTGAGCCCAGGAGGTTGAGGCTACAAAGAGCTGTGATCGTGCTACTGCACTCCAGTCTGCACAGGTGACAAGAGTGAGACCCTGATTCAAAAATTTTAAAAAATAAAATAAAAATAAACTGCAATACCAGCAAGATAGAGAAAATGATATGTTGTAAGATACCAGCAATAAAAGCACACCTTACTCCTCCGGCTCACAAACTAGAAACAGGAGTGCAGTAGCCAGATTGGACAGATGAGGAAGCCAAGACCCGGAGAGGGAAATGGAAACAGGCTCAGGCAATCCACTCGCCTCAGCTTCCCAAAGTGCTGGGATTACAGGCTGAGCCACCAAGCCCAGCCCTTTTAAACGGTAATCTTACTTAAAGGCTTTAATACACCGATGACCCCAGCCTTGGTCCCACAGAAGGTAAATCAACAGAAACCAACCCTTCTCTCCTTGGTGTGGGCCTCTGACTCCGGGGACTTATCCTCTTCCACCCTCACTCCAGACCTTCCAGCTGGGATCTAGGTCACAATGTCCTCAGAGGCAGCTGCTGCTAGCTGACTGGACAATGCTGCCCTGCTTCCTCCTTCCTGGTCCTCCTGCCCCATCTGCCTCTCTCTCACTCACTTCAAGGCCTATGCCCCTTCTCCACCTACCGTTACCACCTGATCAGGGTTTTTTAAATCAGGAAAAGTAAACGTGCACCTCGAGTCATCCAAACAATGAAGAAAGAGAACAATGAACAAAACTTTCCTTTTTTTTTTGAATTGGAGTCTCACTCCTTTGCCCAGGCTGGAGTGCAGTGGTACACATGCTAACGGCCACCCTAGCATTGACCTACTGGGCTCTGGTGATCCTTCCACCTCAGTCTTCCCAGTAGCTGGAACTACAGGTGCATGCTACCACGCCTGGCTATGTTTTTATTTTGTTACCAAGACGAAGTTTCGCCAAGTTACCCAGGCTGGTCTCGAACCCGTGGGCTCAGGTGATTCACTTGCCTCGGCCTCCCAAAGTGCTGGAATGACAGGCTGAACCACAGAGCCCGGGCTAAATCTTTTGAAATATAAGATTGCTTGACTCAACTCTGTGTGTCTGAATTCAGGCTATTTGGGCAAGACACACACTTCTGAGCTGGAGACCCCATTCTTACCGTCCTTCCCTCCCTCCTGGTCCCCCTTGACTCTAGCACGTGAGGATGCCACCCGGCACCTCTAGAGACCCACTCCCCGGGCTCTCCTGAAACCCCCACCTTTGTTTCTATGTCTACCTTTCCCTTGACTCTTGCTTGAGCCAAGGTTCTTTCTGTCCTGGTCTTAAAAAGTCTCAGTCACTTCACTTTGACTGCACACTAAGGGCTCCATAATCGGTAGTGGGTTCCATTTCAGCCCCTGAACATTTCCCTGCTAAGTTACAGACCACTGCCTGCTGACTTCCCGGCTCAAGACACGGAACACACAGCTTTGCCGCCTGGTCAACCCTGCTGCCAGCTGTCACGCCAGCCTCCATACTTTAGCCACAGGATGAGCCTGTCATTTCCCACCAGGCCACCATGCAACGTCTGAGCTGTCTTCATCGACCTGCTTGACTCGGACTTGTAAACGCACCCTCTCTTCCCTAGGGCTTGGTTACACTGCCCCTTGGGCAAAACAGCTCACCAGCCTTCGCCTGGCAACATTTCACACGTCTCCACTGCAGTACTTAGTCCTTGGGGATTACTTCCACATTGGTCTCCCTGGATTCTGAGCTCCCCAGATAGCGGGGCATGCTTTCCTCATCTTTACACAGGTCCTCTGCTACCCCACCCCTCTCCCTAGCTCAAGCAAAGGCAGAGGAAACACTGTTGAACTGCAAACCTTTCCAGGCTCCAGCAGAATCACAAAGTCAAGTTCCCATGAGCATGTGGGGCCAGCGGCAAGGGCACTGCTGCTTGCTAGCCTCCTGCAGCTCTGTGGATCACCCAACCTGTGCGGGCATCCTGACTTTGAGAGAAGCTGGAGGCAGGACTTTTTAGTTTAAAAGAAAGTATTTGCGTTTTTAAATGCTGGCAAGCAATTCAAGCTATTTACAAACACCCAGAAGCACCTATGGTTTATACAAACCATCAGGCTGACAGGGAAGAACAGGACATGCTAGAGGAGTGACGTGCTCTAACCACCAGAACTATTGAGAAGACAGATGAGCTGGCTATGAGGAGCCTTCAAGGTCATGAAGTCTGGGTCTTGACATTCTGGTAAGGACCATTCACACCCCTTGTTAACCCAAAACAGACGTCTCACCCTCTCGTCACTCCAAACATGAAGGACAATCACAGACCTGCTACGTTCATCTAGCCCCTCCCCACATCCAAAGCCAGAACTGAAGCAATTGAATTTCATGCAAGACACAGCTTTCAAGAACAGGATGGTAACACCTAGAAGATGAGATGAGGGTGTCACTACGAGGCTCACCCGTTTGAGATGAATTGTTTTCAGCGTCACTGCACACTCAGATAAAGCCTGTGGAAAAAAGTTGAAGAATTTTAGCACAGACAATTCCTGATAAGTGAGCTAGCTTTTGTCTTTATTACCCTAGCCAGTGCCAGGGAAGTATTCATCTCTAAATAATTATTTCTAGGGAAATGTTTAGCTCCAAAGAAGGGAGGGATGGAGAAAAGGTAACAGGAGGTAGAGTGAGTGGGTTGGACAGAAAATAGAAACATACAAACTTGTCCCAATGTAGTAAATTATGGTGGTAAAATCTAGCTTTACACTAGGCTGTGGGACAATGAGAAAGGGTGCCTGTCTGACCTGAAGGATCCAGAAGACGAAATTTGGGGAAATGATCACATGAGAAGAAGGACAGTTAGTTGCAACAGTTAGGGAAAACCACTAGGCACGAGCTTCAGAATGCAAGTAGCAAGAGAAAACAAATAATCAAGTTTTAAAGAAAATCTGCATTGTGCACCCTTCCATGTTCCCAGGAAGAGCCTTAGATGTTCAAACTGAAGGAGCTGAATTTTACATATTCAACTTTACCATTGGATTAAGAATCCACAAAAAGTTCAAAAAGTGTCATCAAACCTTTTTTAAAAAATGAATCCAGTGGGGAACAGTGGCTCATACCTATAATCTCAGCACTTTGGGAGGCCGAGGCAAGAGGACTGCCTGAACCAACAGGCTCGAGAGCAGCCTGAGCAACTTGGCAAGACCTCATCTCTACCACTAGAAAAAATTAGTTGGACATGGTGGTGCATGCCTGTGGTTCCAGCTACATGAAAGGTTGAGGCTGTGGTGGCCGTGAGGGTGCCACTGCACTCCACCCTGGGCAACAGAGTGAGACTCCGACTCAAAAACAAACAATCCCGATTCAAATACCAATTTGAAATCACTAAATTTAAAAAAACAAACAAAAAACAAAGAACATATGACATGTTGGTGCTTACCAATACTGTCTGTGCATCGGCCAGGTCGAAGGTTTGCTTCAAAGGAGCAAGGAAGCAAGCAGGGACAATGTGCTTGTACACGAAGTCAGCAAATCCCACGGGCCCATCTTTGCCACCTGTCAAGAGAAGTCACACTTACATCTTGTGTCTCTCACCAATTAATTCAACGCCTACTCCTGTCTCTGTAAGGATCAGGGTCAGGGTCTGGCTTCCCTTCCATCTCTAAGAGTGCTGGGACAGGCTGGGAAGTGAGCGCTGAGGAACAATGTGATCTCACCCCAGAGTTCGACCAGCTTCGAGAGGATGATGAAACACGTCTTCTGTGCAATCGGGTCTGGATATTCAACGGCTCCTTGGATCACAGTGACCAGCACTCTTTCTACATTCTCTGCACCTGAAGAGAAAAACTTGAGTTTAGTTTAAAACAGTAACTAGAAAGGCAACCTGAAATTCTCACTTCATGCACAAGAACAAGTCAGAAAGCATTCCCAGAGTGGCCAAGATCCCTCGATTTTTACTAACAGGCACCTAAATTTTAAGCATTAAACGTTGAAAAGTCAATATTCCTTTGATATCTTGTCCCTTGGATTTCTCATGCAGCAGAATCCTCTATTTTTATATTTTTGGTTTTTTTCTATTTTGTTTTCTCATTTTTTTATTTCAAAACGGTAAACTGGCTGTAAGCCTTAACAGTCTGGTCAGTTCTGCCAACTGGCCACCACACTACTCACATGGCTCAAGAACCAATTAAAGAATCCTGCCCAGGCCAGGCACAGTGGCTCAAGCCTGTCATCCCAGGACTTTGGTAGGTGGAGTCAAGAGGATGGATCACCTGATCTCAGGGATTTGAGACCAGCCTGGGTAACTTGGCGAGACCTTGTCCCTACCACAAATCAAAAAATTAGCCGGGCCTGGTGGCGCATGCCTATAGTTCCAGCTACTTGGAAGGCTGAGGTAGAAGGATCGCCTGAGCCCAGCAAGTGGAGGCTGCAGTGGCCGTGAGCATGCCACTGCACTCCAGTCTGGGCAAAAGAGTGAAAAAAGGAAGTGCATACAGGTGAATCTCAAGGTGCTCACCATGAAAGTGCCCGAAAATAGTGAACTACCAGCCTAGGGGCCAACACATGTGAAAGCTTTGAGCAGACTTCCATCGCTCTTGCTCTGATAGATGCACACCTGTGGCTGGGACAGGAGTGGACACAGCAGGCACCCACCTTGATTGGCTATCACCTCACTCATCCCACTGCCGGTGACCGTCTGAAGGAAAGCAAAGTAACTTCTCCGCAGCATCTGTTTCTCCAGAGCGGCAGACTGGTCGTTCTCTTCCGCCGGGCGGAGCAGCACTTCAAAGATGGCATGCAGCAGGGGCATGAACATCTGCTGTAAAAATGGGGACACCTGTACCTGAAGATAAAGGACAATTACTACTTCAGGAGTATGGAAATGAAGAGGAAACTTGGGAGAAGGTGCTCCAAAAAGGCCTCCAGGGTAAACGAGGGGGGACTCAAAAGGTGCAGACTTTATTCATGCAAAATTGTGTAGGCTGGGCAAGTGGCTCACACCTGTCATCCCAGCACTTTGGGAGGCGGAGGTGAGAGGATTGCCTGAGCCCACAGGTTCGAGATCAGCCTGGGCAAATTGGTGAGACCTCATCTCTACTAGAAGTAAAAAAATAAACCTGGCATGGTAACAGGTGCCTATAGTTCTAGCTACTCGGAAGGCTGAGGTGGAAGGACTGCTGGAGCCCAAAGGTTGAGGCAGAAGGATCTCCAGAGCCCAGCAGGTTGACTCTAGGGTGGCCGTGAGCATGCCACTACACTCCAGCCTGGGTGACAGAGTGAAGCCTCCAATTCAAAAAAAAAAATTGTGTGTTTATACTTACATGTTTAAACTTTAGTCACAAAGTACCCTCCGTTTGAAGCAAAACACCCATCAAGACGCTTTTACCACTGCTCAAAACAGTTTTGTACTCGTCAATGCCTTTTAGCGCTTCTGCCCTTTTAGGCGTTACCTCTTTCACATGGGCAAAATGTTTCCCAAGGGCTTTTTCCATCCAGGGAAACAAAAAACGTTACTTGGAGCAAGACCAAGTGAGTAAGGGTGGCAACTGTGTTTTTGGTCAAAAATTGCTGAACACTCAGCGTGGTGTGGGCAGGTGCGCTTGTAGATTACTCATCATGAATCAGCAAGTGCCTTGGAAGAATGTAGAAAAAATATTCACTGAAGGTGAACGCAGCCTCTCACAACAACGCCAGCTGGTCCACTGATGCTGATGGGCTCCTTGAATACTTACCTAGTGAGGGAAGCCTGGACTACAAGAGGCCTGAGAGATGATTCCAACTTCTGGGGGGGCGCCCCCTTAAATATTTTCATAACTCACCCAGTAAGTATCAACATTAAGACAAAAATCTACATAGCATCAACACTGCTGAAGGCCTCGAGATCATTTAGGGCATCTCATTTCCTACAGCTTAAGATTGAGGCTAAGGAAGACATATTACCAGGGAAGATTTTCAAATGTCAATTCTCAAAAAACAAATTCTATCCCTAAGCTTTAAATCAATGCATATGATTAAACTCTTGTGGCAGGATTTTATTTTTGAACACGAACGAAGGTAAAAAATATCCTTTAGTAGCATGTTCTCAGAGCTTGCTTGCAAATGAACTCCTGGGTTTTCTATGCCCTTGGGCTAATCCCTTGACTTCTCTGTGCCTCTGTTTCTTCAACTATAGCATATGACATCTACTTACATAGAAAGTACTACGTAAGTATTAGTCACTCAGCTAGGTTGTAACGGGGTTAAATTCCCTTGTACATAAAATTACTTTTAAACTCCTGCTTCTTAGACACCCAAATTACAGTGCTTCTTACTTACTTCTTTAGACATTTAGTACTCAATAGTGTTTTAATTTTCTTTGCTTTTCTTTTTTTTCTTGAGTCAGTCTTACTCTGTCGCCCAGGCTAGAGTGTAGTAGCATGCTCACTGCCACCACAGCTTCAACGTGCTGGGCTCAGGCAATCTTTCCACCTCAGTCTTCCAAGGAGCTGGAACTACAGGTGTGAGCCACCATGCCTGGTCTTTTATTTGCTTTTCTAAAACAGCAGGCTAGTTCTTTTCTTTTGCAACAAAGAGCAGATAAGATCTGTTTTTATTAAAAGTTGTAGTAAGCATGACCTGTCTGTCAGGCCTAGACGCTGCTGATAATAAAAATACACATGATTCATGCCCTCAAGTAACTCACATTAAAAAAAAAAAGGCAGCTGGGCGCAGTGGCTCACATGTCATCCCAACACTTTGGGAGGTGGAGGCGAGAGAACTGCCTGAGCCTGTGGGTTTGGCAATCAGGTGAGACCTCGTCTCTACAATAAGTCAAAAAATTAGCCAGGCGTGGCGGCACATGCCTGCTGCTCCAGCTACTTGGAAGGCTGAGGTGGAAGGATCGCCTGAGCCCAGCAGGTGGAGGCTGCAGTGGCCGTGAGCGTGCCACTGCACTCCAGCCTGGGCGACAGAGGGAGACTCCGACAATAACAACAACAAAAAGCCAAGGGCAAAACCCGTAAGACATCCGAAGCGAAATCCATCTAATCTGCAAGCAAGGCAGTCCTCAGGCGTTGAAGGCCATGGTACCTTGAACTTGGCTGTGATCTGGTTGATCAGAGGAATGAACTCCTGGAGGTCTTTGGCTTCACAGTCTTTGAGCATGTGTTCTGAAGCAGATGGGATGAACGGCAGGACTTCCTCCTCCAGACAAATGACCATCCGATGGAGGAAGGTGCGGACTCCACCTCTGAGAATGTCCTTCTGGAAGGGGCAGCTGAGGGCCGGCAAGAAGGTCTGCAGGCAGTCCAGATAGACTTCGGAACAGCCACTCTGCTTCACAGTCTGCTTGTTGCTGAAAGCTTTGCTGGTTCGGCTGTATGCAAGCACAAATCGGAGCGTGGATTTAGCTTTATCCTTTAAAAGTGTGATGGGTATTCAAAAGCAATGCACAACGAGTTGCAAAACAGACAGAACTAAAAAGCCTCATCTTCATTTTCCACATCACAATTCCTTCCAGCTGTAGCTAATATGGTCATTTGCCAACGATGGCTTCCAGGTGCCATTCCAGAACAAAAAGGTTCAAACTGAAGTAAGAGTTTGTCTTATACAATCACCAGCAATCTCTTTATGACCCCTGAGCGAGGACATCTGAGTGCAAAGGGTTAAATAAAGTCCTACTGACAAAGGACGTTGAGGAAGAAAATCCACTTACTATGACTAGGCTGTGCTAGACAATCTGCAAACTACCCACTTAAATTTAGAAAATAGTTTTCAGAATCAAGTTGCTGCTACAATCTCTCAAACATCTAGCTCTTGCTCGAAAATCGTCTGTAGGACAGTTTTTCTGTAGCTTCTAATCAGCAATCACTGTAACTTTAATGTTCTTACTTATTGCTTGTCAATAAAAAGTATGGGGGGTGACCGCTTGGGTGGTGGTCTTCAGGACACAACACAGCTTAAGAGAAGTCTCAGGATCTTCTCTCTAAGGTAACCAAGACTAAACCAAGATGTCCCAGTATGTCATTGGAATGTAAACACTTTATCTAATCCCCTTAAATACACAACCCAGCAACACCAAAGAAATCCAAACAGTTACGGATTTACAGTTGTCAAGGCAAAAATGCAGAATGGTATGTGACTATCCCCTTCTTCCTTCAGCTAAGCCTTCTAATTCACTGGATTTAGAAGAAAAAGATTAGGGCAATTCTCTGGACGTACAGCTGTGGAAACACAAATGCATGAGCCCGTCCCCCAAAAGCATCAAATGAGTACTCAGTGTAGAGCCACACTTGACAACTCTGATTACGATCCCGCTCACCTGGCAAACCCCACCGCGTGGCTGAGACAGTCTGCAAGAGATGCTTGTCTTTCTTCATCCTGGGCCAGCATCAACTTTTCTAACAGAATTTTAAACTTCTCCATTAGCGGAGTCAACAGATTCCTCATCAACGCCTGTTTCCTTTCGGCTGGATATTCACTGTTGACAATCAGCACTCCAGCGGTCTCATACATGAACAGTTGATCATCACTGCTCAGTAAGGACTGGTAACCATTCTCCTAGGATGGAATTTTGCCTTATTAAAGTTCTTTTCTGAGTTCTTCTCATTTAATCAGAAAGCATGCAAGAGAAACAGGAACTATAATCTTATCACATCAACTCACAGATCAAGTACGTAAAAAAACAAATTTTTTTCCAGGACCACGTAATGAAAAGAAAACTGAATTAGAAGTCAAAAGAGCACAGTTCTAATTTGAGCCCTGACAAGACTTTGCAAGTGGTCATATAATTGACAGCTAGCCTTCTAACTTCCTTCCTTTTGTAAGAATCTTATTTATAAGATTGTTATGAATCTAAATATGAGGTGTACAAAAATGCTTTGAGTATTTGCACAAAGGCCATGCAATTTATATCTTCAAGCATTTAAGGGTTTAACATCAAGAAAACTCACACACATATACACACACACAAACCACCTGTTACTTTAGGACTATGAAAATAAGACTGACAATGAAAACAATAAATCTCATTCCTACACAAGCCAACATGCCACGTATGGGTTTTTTATTTCTCACATTTAAGCACTCAGAGGTGCCAAAGGGGAGGGGATCAGAGGCTCCTCTAGGGCCAACACTAAGCTCCTTGTCAAAAAATCACATAAAAACCTAGTCTTCAAACAGAAGGATCATGTGGTGGTTTTATATAAAAGAATTCTGCGTCCCTTGAAAGAGAAAACATCCCTGCTTGGCGGAACTATTGCTATTATTGTCTTTATTTGGAAATTAAGTATGGCTTAAGGAGATGCGTGTGGGTGCCAAGCTGACAAAGGGTACACTTCTGGACTTAATTTGAGGTGTAAATTTGGATATTAAAAGACCCATTTTAGAGTGTTATAGCTATTTTAAACAATAAGTACATAAGTAAGAAACACCTAGAAAAGCATAATGCTAAATGTCTGCAAGGGTGCCACGGAGGGAATGGGGGCGTCTGAAAGAAGCGGGGCAGGTCTGCCCTCAGTGCTGGCAGGTACCATCCAGCCGGCAGGGGACCTGAGACGACAAGCACAGATGGCGAACTGGTCCCTGAGAGCGGGGACAGACATTTCTCCTGCTGCCTTGGATAGCAGAAATCTGACTCCACGGGAGTGCATGACCACAACGTGTTCCATAAGACCTCCTGTGTTGTAAGACTTTCTCCATCTGCACGTGTGGCACACAAATGTCTTGAGATCTCAGTTTGGTGGGCGACTGCACAGGCAGCGATGACTCATTGAGGTTCTGACCAATCTCCTCATAAAACTCAGGTATTTCTAACGACTGCAGCTAGAGAGCCAGGCACGCACAATTACCCCCACAGTGACAGGCATTTGATCATTTCACTCTTTGACCCATTTCTTGCTGAATACGGCTCGCCTGCTCCTGTTACCCATGTGACTGCCATCTGTATACCTGAGTGTCTATGCTTGCAAAAACCTGTTATTTTTGCCTGTTTTATTGTGTCAAGTGGCCTATGAAGTGCTCTGTCCTATTTGTACATACTAAATAAATCCCCTTGTAGAAACGTAAATCAATGTCTTTCTCAGCCTCCTGAGTGCCCAGCTAATGTTTTTCATTTTTTGCAGGGATGAGGCCTCACTATGTTGCCCAGGATGGTCTCGAACTCCTAGACTCAAGTAATCCTCCTGCCTTGGCCTCCCAAAGTTTTGGGATTACAGACATAAGCCACCACGCCTGGCCTTATTCAATGTCTTTTAAAGAATTTTGTAAAATTACTTTTTCCAGATTTATATTTGCAGAATTTTGATCTTTCAGAATGGTGATTTTCAGAATTTTTCCACTTTAGGGATTTTGCTCTTTCAGGATTTCAACATTTAGGATTATAGCCCAAACACCATAATATTCAGAACTCAATCAGCATTTAATTTTTTTTTACCCTAAGCCTAAAGTTACACAGAAGAACTTTAGTCTGATAGTAGCAGTTGTTAAAAACAGCTAATATAATTGTAGTATTAGAGAATAATTTGGAAGCTGAATTTTCTCCATAAAACACTTCACCAACAATTAACAGTATCCTCAGTGCTGCCAAGTTTATCAGTCAACTCTTGATTCTTTTCTAATTCTAGGTTTTTTGCTGTATCAACAGAATTTTGGTAAACAGAACTCTTGCACACACACACTGCCTCCACCAAGTCTGTAAAATGCCCACAAGGTAAGGCTAACAGCATATGCGGCCTCCATGACATTTGGGGAAACATCTTAAAAGGACAAGTACTTACAGGTGGAGAAAGTTCTAATAAATCCTGTATTCTATTCAAAATGTCCTCAATAAAAGGGTTCATCTGTTTACTGCAAAACAGCAAAAAGGAAAATCACAACTAAATATCTGCTGAAAAAAGTGCTAAGATACAAAATCCTCCTTTAGGACAGAACCCGAAAAAGTTGTTCTAGGTCAGTCACATCTATCTAAGACTAGCTGTGGTTAATTTTTTACAACTGCCTCTGTCTGCTCTGTAGTGACAGATGGTCAAGGTGACTTACAACCTTATAAGCCCAATAAGTAGCTTTCATACCAAAAAATGGTACTAGCCAAGAATAACACAAAACAGAATAGGTAAAACCTGTACTTTGAAGGAATATCTTCTCCAGGATTTCCAAGAAGCCATAGAGTGATCCATGGCAATAAAACTGTTGGTTAAGTGACTAGCGGATATCATTAGTGAGGACAGGCATTAGCCTATCAAAAGCATGCAAGCTGACTGCTTCTTATACTGAAAAAGGACCTGACTGATGAGTGGGAAAGAAGGTGTGGCATTAAAAGGAACACCCACCTGATAAGCATGACTTGAACAGGGAGAAACAAACCTACCAGCGGCTCTGAGAAAAGTATCCGTCTAGTTAATAACTTGAGAAATAAAGAGATAAACCTAACGGCTGAAGTGTTATACTTACTTGAGAGACTTGACAAATCTGGAAAACAGGTAGGCCGTCCTGCTCCGGACTTTTGCACTGGAATGCCGCAGCCCTCTGTGATCTAAGAAAGCCATCTAAAGAGACAGAGAAACTTCACCCTTTCCACACTCGCTCAAGCTGCTGTCATGCTACATTTTTTGTTCACATTACATCTTACGTCTTAGCTCCTAGAAGGCAGGCACCAGGAATGTACAACAAGAAATCCCACACTACATACAAGCAAGCCCTCGAGGACTGACTAGACAGAAAGCAGCCACTTAAAAGAAATGGGGGGGGGCAGCTGGGCTCAGTGGCTCAGCCTGTAATCTCGTGCCTTTGGGAGGCTGAGGTGAGTGGATTGCCTGAGCCCGCGGGTTCACCTGGGCAGGCGAGACCTCATCTCTACAATAAATCAAAAAATTAGCCAGGCATGGTAGCACGCGCCTGTAGTTCCAGCTACTTGAAAGGCTGAGGAGGAAGGATCGCCGGAGCCCAGCAGGTTGAGGCCGCGGTGGCTGGGAGTGGCCGCTGCACTTCAGTCTGGGCGACAGAGTCAGACTCCAACTCAAAAAAAAAAAATCCCAAAGAAACAGGGGATGGGTTAGTTTTGGAGTATTAAGAGTTTTTCAGAGCTGCTTTCTTTAAGAAGTGCTAGAGGACAGAGAGGTAGAACCCGATCTGCTGAAACACACGGAAAACAGCAAGAGCCCAGAGCAGAACGCCTACTTACTAGTACACATGGAATGTGCTGAGGTTCAACAGTGAAGAACTTCTCATATCGAACAACAGTTTCAAAGAACTCTAGCGTCACGGAGGCGTGCTGGTAGGAACTCACCCCCGATGTCACCAGCTGCAGGAGAGAGGTGGAGCCGGCTCTGACCCACTGTGGCACTGAATGCCCCAAATCAACACACACTAAGCTCTAACAACCAAGGAACTCCCACTAGCTCATAGTGAAAACGAAAATCATATTCAAAATGAAGGATCTCCAGTATACTTACAGTTCGCATCATATCCTGCAAAGCACTAGCTTTTGAAACATCACCTGAGAAGTGAGCACCATGAGATACTGGAAGAGCTTCTGCCAACATATACAGCAATCTTATTGCTACTTCAACCTCCATAAACCGTGTCGTCTGCCAGTTCCTACCAAGGTACAATATCTCAGTGAGATCTGAACCTCAACTTCGATGCAACTAGCCAAGCACAAGGTAAGACACCAACAAAGTCCTCTTTGATTACTATAATCAGGCCAGGCGCAGTGGCTCATGCCTATAATCCCAGCACTTTGGGAGGCCAAAGTGAGAGGACTGCCTGAGCCCATGGGTTTGAAACCAGCCTGGGAACTTGGTGAGACCTCATCTCTACAGTAAATCAAAAAATTTGCCGGGCGTGGTGGCATGTGCCTGTAGTTCCGGCTACTTGGTGGGCTGAGGCGGAAGGGTTGCCTGAGCCCAGCAGACCGAGGTTGCAGTGGCTGTGAGCATGCCACTGCACTCCAGCCTAGGCGACAAAGTGAGACTCCGACTCAAAAAAAAAAAAAAAGATTACAGTCAAAGCAAGTGTTCATTTTCACAAAAGTCGAAAGAATCAAGATAAACCAAGGATCCAAGTAAAGTGCATTACGGTTTCCAGAGATACACTAAGATCTTAATAAGTAACAGGGTAATTCTATGAATCACTGATTTTAGACCACCATCAGAAAGCGAAAGAAAGAAGCTGGCTTATTACAAAAAGAATAACAAACTTACTGCAGTGTAGAACTAAACACTCTGCGAACAGAAGCCAGCAGTAACTCTGGTGAGACTTGGGCAAGCCTATCCAACAATAGCTTCAGTTGTTTTCTGTATTCCACAAACATGGCTTCATCTTCCCCCTAGGAAACAACAGGATAAAAATCCTCATTTAAAAAACGTAGAAGACTTTACAATTCATGTAATTATTTGGTTCCTCTGTAGATTTCTGCATTTATAAATTTCATACTTCTGTTTTTTCATCAATATCTAAATAGGAAAGCTTACTATGCTTAGTAACTCCTCCCCTCCTGCTCACAAATAAGTATTTCTGAACACCACAGCCCTTGGCCTCAAAAGCCTAGAGCCAGAAACAGCGTAAGGAGATTAAGGACAAGCGTCGTAGCCAGCATGGGCTTTGAGGCCTCTGGCACCAAATTCATCCTCTGTATGCCAGTGTCCACTGTAAAAAGTGGTGATGACACCATACGACTGGAGATGATAAATGTCAGGGGCCTGGCACACTCCCGGGCACAATGTGGTGGTCATTACCACCATGATCCTTCATGGGAATTCTGAATGCCTGGGCTAGGAACAGAACCATCAAGTACACAGCCCAGCAGCACATGCTGTCACACAACACCTAACAACACCTGCTGCCTCTCGGGCTTCCTGGGAAGCTGACCCACTCCCAAGCCTGGGCAAGATGTTTAGCTGGAACAAGTCCAGAGGGTACCATCTCCACTCTGCCTTCCAGAATTCTGACCTGAGGTTCAGCATTCCTATTAAATACAAAGTAGACAGTGCCAATAATGTCTTCAATAGTTCACTAAGTTAAATGCTACAAAGTGTTTTTTAAAGGGTTGTTAAAGAACAAAACATTAAAAATGAAGCATTAAGAGGCTTCTGGAAGCTCGGTCAGGCGCTCAGGATCCATTTACATTGGTTCCTACAGTCGGTCCCCAGACTCTAACAGCCAAAATGGTGAAACAGATCAATAACAAGGCCTGTTTTCAGGATGCCTTGGAAGCTGCAGGTAATACACTTGTACTTGACTTCTCAGCCACGTGGTGTGGGCTTTGCAAAATAATCAATCAAACCTTTCTTCCATTCTCTCTCTGAAAAGTATTCCAGTGTGGTTTCCTCAAAGTGGATGTGGATGACTGTCAGGATGTGCTTCAGAATGTGAAGTCAAATGTATGCCAACCTTCCAGTTGTTAAAAAAGGTACAAAAAGTGGGTGAATTTTCTGGAACTAGTAAGAAAAGCTTGAAGCCACCATTAATGAATTCATCTAATCATGTTTTCCCAAAATAAAAATAAAAAAATAAAATAAAACTTGGGAGTTTTAGGCCAGGCGTGATGGCTCACACATATAATCCCAGCACTTTGGGAGGCCGAGGTGAGAGGACTGCCTGAGCCCACGGGTTCAAGACCAGCCCGAGCAACTTGGCAAGACATCATCTATACAATAAGTCAAAAAACTAGCTGGACATGGTGGTGCATGCCTGTAGTTCCAGCTACTTGGAAAGCTGACATGGAAGGATCACCTGAGCCCAGCAGGTTGAGGCTGTGGTAGCCATGAGCATGTCACTGTACTCCAGCCTGGGCGACACAGTGAGACTCCAACTCAAAAATAAAAAAATAAAAAAGATACTTCATGTTGAAGCGGGCTCCAAAATAATATGCAATATTAATTTGATAAGTTACAAAATTAAGACTCATTTCTTACCTCATTTTCAAAGTTATACTCTTCATCATAAGTCAATTTTTTCATAACGGCCAACATGATTGCCTACAAATAAAACAGCTTCTTAATTTGAGATTAAACTACATTTCAAGGCAGATGACACAGACAAAATACGTCAAAGGATTAAAAGAAGCATAAAGAAGTCAATTACCTCTACATTAGCTTTCTGCTGATCCGAGAGTACTGTAAGCTGTTAAAAGGTAAGCAGTAACTTATTAGGTTTTCTAAAGTCAGACTTGCAGATCCGAATATTTTGCTAATCAATGATGACCTTTTAAAACATACACAACCTTTCTGGAGAGCAGTCAGCCAGTACCTGTCTACAATTATAATGTATCTAACCTAAAATCTAGCACGAACTCCACGTCTAGTAAGTAACTTGACATGTAGGTGAATCCAATTTTTAAAGACACATATGGCATATTCAGCAAAGCAGCAGGTTACAAGGACAGGAAAGGATGACCTCATCTCAACAAAGGAAAACAAGCCTAGAAACCCAGTAAGAGAATTATCAATGGGACTGCCAGCAGTGAGCACACCTAGAATTTCTTAAAGTATGTATGCAGACATATGTTACGTTTATTACAATAAAACAGAAATAAAATCTATTTTTGGAGATTAATCATTTTAAGCGTGACTTGATTGAATTAATTCAGTGCAAATAAAATAGAAATGGCTCCCTCATCTATTGTCATAGTGAGAAGTCACCAATTTCTTAAATTGCTCCATTCTTTGTTTAGAAACAAGATGATCAGCCGGGTTCGGTGGCTCAGCTTGTAATGGCGCGCCTTTGGGAGGCTGAGGTGAGTGGATTGCCTGAGCCCGCGGGTTCGAGACCCGACTGGGCAGCGAGACCTCATCTCTACAATAAATCAAAAAATCAGCTGGGCGTGGTAGCGCATGCCTGTAATTCCGGCTACTCGGAAGGTTGAGGCAGAAGGATCGCCGGAGCCCAGCAGGTCGAGGCTGCGGTGGCTGGGAGCGGCCACTGCACTCCAGTCTGGGCGACAGGGTAAGACTCCAACTCAAAAAAAAAAAAAAAGAAACAAGATGATCTGTAGGCAGCATCAGATTTTTAAAAATTTAAAAATAAAAACATGATGAGGTTCAAAATGAAAAAAAAAAAAAAAGCTGGGTGTGGTGGCTCAAGTCTGCAATCCCAGCACTTTGGGAGGCTGAGGTGGGAGGACTGCTTGAGTCCAGGAGTTCAAGACCAGCCAGAACAACATAGTGAGACCTTGTATCTACAATAAATCAGTAAACAAAGAAAGGAAAAAAAATAACCCAAGTCTATAATGAACTCTGAAGCTTGTTAGTCTACTGGATTTTAGAGCCTAGCCGCTTGTTTTCTGGCTTTTTTTTTTTCATCTGGAGTCTCACTCTGTCACCCAGGCTGGAGTGCAGTGGCATGCTCACTGCCACCCAGCGTCGACCGACTGGGCTCTGGTGATCCTTCTGCCTCAGCATTCCAAACAGCTGAAACCACAAGCACGCACTACCATGCCCAGCTAATTTTTCATTTATTGTAGAGACAGAGTCTCACCAAGTTGCCTGGGCTGGTCTAGAACCCGTGGGCTCAGGCAATCCACTCGCCTCGGCCTCCCAAAGTGCTGGGATGACAGCTGAGCCACTGGGATGACAGCTGAGCCTAAGTATTTTTTTTAAGGGGGAAATATGCTGATATTTAAAGTAAATGTCTTTGGGTAGAAGAATTACAACTATTTTCTTCAGTTCCTTTTTCCTGCATTTTCCGATTCTCCATGACGGCTCTGTACTGTCGACTAAACAAACAGTAAAACAAGACCGTACCTGCTTTAGAATCTGAAGGTAATCATAGCAAAACCCAATGATGTTGGAGGAAATGTCATCGTCCTCATGGATCAGCAGCTGCAGCATGAGTGCCACCTTCGTCTCAACAGCTTGCAGGGCCTCCTGAGCATGCGCCATGTCTCCACTCTTGACTAACTTAGTCCAGCTGACGATCAAGGACTGCCCCATTCCGTTCACGAGCTTAGAGAAGCGGGCCAGGAAGTCAACGTCTTCTTCCTGTCAGCAGCCGAGACAGATATCCATTTGAAGCCACCCACCCAAGAGCCAGAGGAGACACTGAACTTCAGCTGAATCAAGGGCCGATCACAGGATTCAGTTTCAAACTGACAATAGTCATTTGACAATTCTACCATAGATGCACAGCGCAGGACTAGGTGTTTATAAGAAACACACAACTGCAGGCCCTAGCCCAGTCTTTCAAGTTTAAGAACGGACAGAATTTACTCCCCAAGGCAAATGCTAGAGAGAACATCAAGGCTTTCTAGATGCAGTGGTTTATTATTATAATCCAAGAGGGTTTCTAACAATTAGAAAAGAAAAAGAAAAGGCTATGATTACATTTAACTTACCACCTATCCTAGTTTGTTCTAACAACGTTTAAGATTTTATATATAAATTTACTAACCTGGTCAATGCTAAAAAACCCAGCAGACTGCAAAACTTGACACAAAGATTCTACTAGTTTCATTTTATCAACAGGGTCCATTCCTTTATTTACAATTTCAAATAAACAGTCACATGCTTCTTCTCGTAGAACTTCTACGGACATATGACCTAGCAGCATATTTATAAACCTGGCAAAAGGAATGAAACTGTTACCACGTTTCCAAATTTATTCATCTTTGACACGATATCTTACAGGCTCATCACAGGCACACTTACCTGTCATTGGCTATGAGGGATAAGTCTATCCAGGAGACATAGGCCCCAACGACTTCAAGGCACTGGCATGTCACTTCTGAATTAGTATACTGATAGTTTTGTAAGATTTGGTGCCACGATTCCACGAGATTCGGAATGCACTGTTCCCGCATGGTATCCTTTATAAGAGTATTCCTACGAGCCTCCTGAAATACAAAATGCCAAACAGAGAGAGTATATGACTTCATGAAACCTGGCGTTGTCTGAAGACAGTTGTACATCATTTCCTCAACATGAACCTCAGGCTTGTTGACACATTCCCCACTGGCAGTTCCTGCTTATCAGCTCTAAAATCTTATCCTGTGATTCTTTGGCTTTCCTCTTTCCGTTCTATTCCTCAGCGCCAGTTAATTTCTTATTAAAGACAAGCTATCAATAAGCCTGCTTAGTATGCAAAGCATGTGGTCAGTCATTTCCCAATCTGCCAACACAGTGCTAGAACTGAGAGAGACAACACACACAAGCAGCAGCGTTGACCCCCAAGCAGCTTCCGCCTCGCGAAGGGACGGCATGGCTGCATTCAACAGAGACGACGTTTCCCAACAAAGTCAAAGGAAAAATGGATGCGTGTATTTTACTAAAGAAAGTATTTACACCACTAAAAAAAATTCAAAGCTTTAAAATTATTAATTTTTTATTTTTTTGGTTTTTTCTTTGAGAGTCAGAGTCTCACTCTGTCGCCCAGGTTGGAGTGCAGTGGCACACTCACGGCCACCGCAGCTTCGACTTGCTGGGCTCAGGTGATCCTTCCACCTCAGCCTTCTAAGAAGCCGGAACTACACATGCACACTGCCATGCCTAGCTAATTTTTGATTTATTGTAGAGACAAGGTCTCACCATGTTGCCCAGGCTGGTCTCGAACCCACGGGCTCAGGCAATCCTCTTGCCTTAGCCTCCCAAAGTGCTAGGATTACAGGCTTGAGCCACCACACCCGGGCTAACATTTTAATTTCAAACTACATCTGAAAAAAATCAAGCTTGTTCTTGTAAAATAAAATTCAAAACACTTAATAAACTTATAATGATTTTTTTTTTTTGAGCCAGGTCTTACTCTGTCGCCAAGGCTGAAGTATAGTGGGCATGATCACAGGCCACTGCAGTCCCTAATTCCTGGACTCAAACAATCCTTCCCACTCGGCCTCCTGAGTGGCTGGGACTACAGGTATATACCACCAGGCCCAGCTCACTTTTTAAGTTTTTTGTAGAGATGAAGTCTCATTATGTTGCCTAGACTGGTCACAAACCCCTGGCCTCTAGCAATCCACCTACCTTGGCCTCCTAAAGTGCTGGGATTACAGACTTTCACCACTGTGCCTGGTCTTATAATTATTCTGAAGAAAGTTTACCTCAAAAAATAAGTGACCGGGCATGGTGACTCATGCCTGTAATCCCAACATTTAGGGAGGCTGAGGCAAGAGAATTGCCTGAGCCCACAGTTCGAGACCAACCTGGGTAACTTGGCAAGACATTGTCTCTACAATTAGTCAAAAAGTTAGCTGGATGTAGAAAGGCTGAGGAGGAAGGATCATGTGAGTCTAGCAGGTCAAGGTTGTGGCAGCAGTGAGCATACCACTGTACTCTAGCCTGGGCAACAGAGACCCCTACTCAAAACAAACGAACAAACAAAAAAACCAGGCCAGGCTCGGTGGCTCAGAATGTTATCCCAGCACTTTGGGAGGCTGAGGTGAGTGGATTGCATGAGCCCATGGGTTTGAGACCAGCCCGGGTAACTTGGTGAGACCTCATCACTACAAAAAAAAAAAAAAAATTAACTGGGTGCGGTAGCGTGCGCCTGTAGTTCCAGCTACATGGAAGGTTGAGGTGGAAGGAACGCCAGAGCCCAGCAGGTTGACACTAGGGTAACCATGATGGTGCCACTGCACTCCAGTCTGGGTGATGGAGACTCCAACTGAAAAAAAAAAAAGAAAAGGAAAAAAACAAGAATTCCTATTTCTTTTATTACGTGTTCATTATGTCCTACAAAATTCATGTTGAAAATGAAAAGTTCATGGTGAGTTACATGCCTCTGCCGTATGCACGACATCGCGATCCACCAGCTCTGAATCGATGGCCATGAGGATTCGGAGGTAGAGGTCTACTCCCCTTGGATTGAGGTCCACCACGGAGAGAATGTCAAAAAAAAACTTGGGCCATTTCGTGAGATACTCAGTAACAAACAGCAGGGCGAAGACTTGGGCAGCTTTATTCCGTATGAAGGTCTTCTCTGGCTGGGGACTCAGCATCTGACAAACAGAGGGACAGCCCATGAAATGGAATGTAAACTGCAGAGACTCAGAAGCACATGTCATCATCAGAGGCGAAACTCCTTCACCCTTCACCATGGCCCAGAGGAGCCAGGCAAAAAAGAAGTTTTAAAGTTAGCCAGGGCTCTCTGTGACCAGCCAGGTCAACAACAAGGAAACAAAGGCTCTGCGGTAACTTTTCATCTCACACTTTTACAGAAAAGCCTCAGGTGTGGCATTTGATAGTTCTCATGCACTTCTAAGAAGAAAAAGACATTTAATTATTTTTCTTCTATCTGCTTGGTCCCTAAGGAAAAACCCAAAATGACCACCTTCTGAACAGGGCTCTGTGAACAGGTTGTTGAGGAGGGCTCACTTTTAAGAGTCAAACAGAAAAGCAGATTTTGTCAAGTAGTTAAATAAAAATTACACTTTAAAAACAAAGTTTCAGCCAGGAGCAGTGGCTCACATCTGTAATCCTAGCACTTTGGGAGGCAGAAGCGAGGGCTGCTTGTGCTCAGGGGTTCAAAACCAGCCTGGGCAACCTGGTGAGACCTCGTCTCTAAAATAAAACAAAAAAGTTAACTGGCTGTGGTGGTGTATGCCTATGTCTGGCTACTTGGGAGGCTGAGGCAGAAGGAAGGCCTGAGCCCAGCAGTTTGAAGTTATAGTAGCTGTTAGCATGCCACTGCACACCAGCCTGGGCAACAGAGCAAGACTACAATTCAATAAATTAATTAATAAATTAAATAAATTAAGCAAAACCAAAGTTTTCACAGTGTGTCATGGAAAGTATGACAATTTCACTTACTGATATAATTTGAAATGATTGCTAAGTTTCCATCTACCCACGACCTTCAAAACTAGCACTTTTTTAAAAGGCTACGGGAGGATAAATAATCAACATCTTTCAGACAAAGTTGCAAATTCTTGCAAAAATGAGTTCAATTATCTGGAAATCTAAGGACCCGAATGAAATCACTATCTTACCTGAGCTTGAAGCCAAGCTATGAGCGTCTCCCTAATGAGCTGCTGCTGGGCGGTGGTGAGCTCTGAGTATCTATGCAAAACAAAGAGTCAGGGCCATGTCTGATATCGGTGGGTCTAACAGTAACAGCCTTGTCTATCCAAAAGGCAAAATACGTACAGCTCCCAATTACCTAAAGCTTCCTAAAATGAGCTGATAATGCCTTTCATCACTGCTTTTAAGAAAAAGGTAAGAATGAACAAGGCAGGCAGGGACTATCAACCTTCGTTGAATCTGTGGTTTTATTCATACTGAAACACAACGACAGCTACATAATTTTCCAAATGAAAAGACACCTGTGTCTGAGGTCTGTGATCCATATACAGAATAAACCAGTAGGTGAACTAAGAATCCCCTCAGTAGAGTCGTCACTTCTGCTTTGCTAGCAAGCAGCCCTCGACTCTAAGAGAGGCCAGGCAAGTGGGAGACAGGCCTGCCGTCACCACATCTTCTGATCTTCCCAGAGATGCTGGAAATCCAGCCTTTTCTATGAGATGGCTGGACTTTTACATGCAACCAACCAACTTAGTACTTCTGAAGCACTCTGGGGTACATCAAAACATCTATGACCTAGATACAACTTGTACACGATCAATTTACAGTCTGTGCTATGGTTTTCTCAAAGAAGAAGAAAACTAAATTTTAAAAATGGCTTCTCTCTACAAATCTTAGAGTCCAAACAGTGAGGAAAGCCTTACTTGTATTTGACTTGATGTTCAAGTACTTGGAAGCAGAAGAACTTTATGTGATCATCACTGAAAAAGAAAAAACAGAAATTGGCTGAGCAGAATAAAACAAACCAAAGGCAAAACACCAACAAACAACAGCAGGTGGGCTTGGAGAGCTTCTCAAGTGAGACCTTTGGTTTTTTTTTTTTTTTTTT